TTTTGCAAGGTGCATCTCAGGGTTCTGTAGTGTCCACTGCTGCTGTCACAACCATTGCTGTGGCCACTGTAGCCATCAGGACTGAAAGCCCACAAAAGGCATGGGTCAAGAGAGGGTGCTGGTAAGGTCTGTACTGGTCTTCTGTAGGGGATGGGACCCATGGTCCTGGGACTGAAGCAAGGGTGACTGGAAAGGGTAGATCAGCTGAAGGGTGGGGGGGTCAGGGCTTGGTGTGAGCATGTTAGGTAGTGAATGTCGGCACAGTGCTCATTCCTGGAGGTTGTTGTTTACCCTGATGGATGGGGGGGAATTGGTCCCTGCAAGCTACTTTGTTCCTGAAGGAGTCTCCCTGATATCCTTATCTCTCTTGGAAATGTTCTGTAATGAGTAAATCACTCTCCCCAGGCATTTATATAACTGCTGGCTCTTTGCTATATCTATGTTATAACTATGCTGTTTCTATGCTATATCTACGCTATATCTGTTCAGGCTGTTTGGCATGCTGCCTCTTTATGGGCAGGAACTCAGCTTCCTAAGGTTCTCAGAGCTCTCCCAGAGCCAAGCCCTCTGGTTTTTAGAATTCCAGGCTTTAAGTCCCACTGGTTGTAAGAACTCATGAAATTCAGACCCTCTCACTTTCAAAGCCAGATGTTATGGGGGTTTGTCTTCCTTGTGATGTGTCTCTGGTGTGATCATGTTTCTTGCTCTTCATCATGCTCCTGGCTCCTTCCTGTCCACAGAGGGCCACAGTCCATTTAGGTCTCAAATCACATCTCCACCTTTCCTACTTTCTTTGATGTGACCTCTTCACTACCTTTGGTTGTGGAGTTCAGCCTGCCCATTTTTGGGTCATTTTCTGGGTTATTAACATTGATGTGAGTGTTATCTAATTGTATACATGGGGTAAGATAAATGTAGGGTCCTCCTACTCTGCCATCTTCCCCTATCTCCCCCACTTCTGATAAACACCTCATGTTTAAAGAACATGACCACTGGTATTGCTCTTTTCCACTGCAAAGTCTAGCAATATGTAAATATTGTATCTATACATTGATTTGGGAAATACTGTGTTATTTTACTGTGTTTCAGAGTAAAAACTTATGTAATGCTTTTTGTTTTAAATTTCACTAGTATGTTTCATCCTAAAATATCAGTTAACTGAAAACTACCTGATTACAATTTTCTCACTTTTAGTTACCTTGTCTTAGATAGTTCTTTTTAAGTGTATTTACAAATATCTTATTTCTTGACCACCAGGGCAACACATTTTCCATTCTCTTTTTTTTTTTTTAAAGATTTTATTTATTTATTTGACAGAGAGAGACACAGCGAGAGAGGGAACACAAGCAGGGGGAGTGAGAGAGGGAGAAGCAGGCTTCCCGCTGAGCAGGGAGCCCGATGTGGGGCTCGATCCCAGGACCCTGGGATCCTGACCTGAGCCGAAGGCAGACGCTTAACGACTGAGCCACCCAGGCGCCCCTCATTTTCCATTCTCTTAAGTAAAATTATAATATGAATGGAACGGAATCACCATGAACAGAATATACTCAATGCCTGGGATGCCTGGGTGCCTCAGTCAGTTGGACATCTGACACTTGCTCTTGGCTCAGGTCTTGATCTCAGGGTCACGAGTTCAAGCCCAGCATTGGGCTCCATGCTGGGTATGGAGCCTACTTAAAAAATTAAAAAAATTAAAAAAATTAAAAAAAAGAATATTCTCAATTGCTATATTTTCCATTTTAGAATGGAGGGATATATATATATATATATAGAAGCTTGTTTTTGTATGTGATGTTGTTTTCTTCCTGAGAGATAAGCCATAGACAGTAATGTAAAGAAATGGGGGAAAAAGGTTATGTTTCATTTGAAGCACCAGTAAATATATGCCAATTTGTTAGTATCCATGGTGTACTCAATGATTAAATAAAAAAATGATTTCTATTAGCTTATTATTATACCCAAACATGACCTTATTAGTTTCTATGCCATTAAAGATTGATCCACACCAAATGATAACCACAGTCCATATCATCAAGATAGGACTAGAAATGGCATATAGCTTTCAGATGTTCTCATAACTTTAGCTTCCTTCCCTAGGATTGCCTTTAGGATATTATCTTGTGGCCAACGTATAGGATTTTTGCATGGAGGAGTTAACAGCTCACTGCTTTTGATTTAATATCCTTTTAATCAGTTGCCAAAGAACAAAACTAAAGAAAACAAATAAACAAGTTTTTAAACTTGGGTGGTCTTCTACTATTGATTCATGGAATCTACATACTAGGATAGCACTTGCTAAAATACTGTGCTTTTTTACAGAAAAATTGTGATAATCTAATAATTGTATAGAAAGTCTCCATAAACCCCACACCCAGTTTCCATTATTATTAATATCTTATATTAGTATGACACATTTGTTACAATTAACTAACCAATACTGTCACATTATTATTAACTAAAATCCATTCTTTATTCAGATTTCCTCAGTTTTTACCTAAGGTCTTTTTTCTGCTCCACATCATCATGTCTTCTTAAGATTTTCTTGCTTGTGACAGTTTCTCAGACTTTCCTTTTCTTTTTAGACTCATTTATTTATTTTACAGAGAGACAGCAAGTTAGAGGGGGGCAGAGGGAGAGAGAGAATCCTGGAGCAGACTCCCTGCTGGGCATGGAGTCTGATGTGAAGCTTGGTCCCAGGACCCTGAGATCCTGACATGAGCTGAAACCAACAGTGGGCCACTCAACTGACTGAGCCACCCAGGGGCCCCTTTTGTTATGACATTAATAGTTTGAAGATTACAAACCAGGAACTTTTTAAATGTTCCTCTATTTGGATTTGTCTGATGGTTTTTCTCATTATTAGACTGGGGAAGTTATAGGTTTTGTGGGAGAAAAGGACAGAACTAAAGTACCAGAATCATCACATCATACCAAGTGTACATACTATCAAAATGACTGAGCACTTCTGATGTTAAATTTAATTACCTGGCTGAGGTAGTATTTGTTAGGTTTCTCTACTGTAAATTTACTCCCCTCACCACACCAACAGTTCTGTATTGTATCACTTTTCAGAAAGAAGTTTATGTGCAGCCCACACTTAAAGAACAGTAGTCACCTCCACCTCCTTGAGGGCAGATTATGTACATAAATCATATGGAATTTTTCTGCATAATACATTTGTCTTTGCTCTATTTATTCAATCACTTATTCATATCAATATGGACTTATGAATATTTATTTTTTACTTTGGTTTATAATCAAACAGTATTTTATTTTGGTAAAATTGTTCTGGCTTTGGTCAATGAGAGCTTTTTTAGTTGGCTCCTGTGTCCCTTTGACATGACATAGCCCCCATCATTATTTTTTGAGGACTTTCTTACTTTATGGTAACAAAATGTTCCAGGTTCATCTTGTAGAATATTACATTTCTACCTGAGGTTTTCTTTTTAATTAGGGACCTACTGTTCCTCACTTCTCCACCTTGATTTCAGTTTTTCATCTTCAAATATAAAAGTTTTATACTGATATGCCTATAACACTGCAAGTAATTTTTACTTACAAAGTCATAGGAAAGACATCAATGAGATTACTATTAAGAAGATGTCTTACAAAAGTGATAAAGAAGACATACAAATTTAAAAAATAAACTATGAAGTACTAAGTGACTGAACATTTAGGCGATGTGTAACAGGTTGATATTAATATGATGTTCTTGAAGTCACATATTAAATAGTACCACACATTTTGTCTTTTATTTCTATTTCCAAATGCAGAAGGGAAATGGTTGCCTTTCAAATATCAGAAATAACAATTGTTATCAGTCACTTAGTACTTTAGCTTGTAGTTTATCTTTTAAATTTTTATTATATGTTGGCTAATTGAAAGTAAAAAAAGAAATAACAATTATAGAGATGCTTAATCATAATATTTAAAGGAACATGGACCTAACATATTGCTAGATCCCTAGATGGAAAGGAGTCCCCAATTTTTCAAATGTTAAACATATTTTAATTAATTTTATGTTAAATATATATGCAATACTACACCATTAGAAATGAAACATGAGGACCATGGTACCTCATTATAAGGAATGAGGCTGTAACTAGCAAAGATTTAAAATCAACCAATAGATGTCCCATCTCTAAAATGGCTTGGAATCATTGCATTAATATTAAATTATTTGTTAAAATACTCTAAATTTGGTAAAGCAATTAAACAATTTCTATAATTTTGTACAGTACATTTTAAACCATAAGCAGAAGGATTTAACCTTAAGCTTTCTATAAACTACAAATTGTTGTTTGTTCCTTATTTCTGTGAAATAATAATTTCTATGGAATAATGCAGTGTAAAAAATTTTGCTAAGTGAATGACGTCAGATTGAGAATGACAAATACCATGTGATTTCATTCATAGGTGGAATCTAAAAACAAATGAATAAACAAACAAAAATCAATATATGTCATGTGAGAAGCATGATCATAGCACACTGTTAAAATGTTTGTTCTGGTTTTTGGAATGCTGAGGTTGAAATAAAGAAAAGAAAGGACACTGAACAAGGTAGTTGTGATGAAGCAAAGATGTAGAGTTAGTAGATAACTAAGACAAAAAATGATAGTGACTGGCATACTGGTATGCACATAGTTACAGTGTGGGATCATGATATGGTGCTGTACCTAAATGAAGTACATACTTACAATTCAATCACATAGAAATGTATTTGGTTTTTTTAAATATTCAAACCAATATATTAATTTAACTATTTATTTATTTCTCTCTCCAAATTTTTATTTAAATTCCAGTTAGTTAACATACAATGTAATATTAGTTTCAAGTGTAGAATTTAGTAATTCATCACTTATGTACAACTTTAATACTTTGGATTTCTTATTTGTGTTAAGAATAATTGTAAGTTATTCAGTTATGTTGCATGCTAATAATTTAGTCCATTCTCTATTAATTTTCTGCAATATTTGTAGACAGCAGGATGACTTACATACCCTTACTTTGCCAAGAGTGTCAAAGTCCATCTTGTAGTAGTCTGATAATTCTCCACACTGACTGCCTTGTTACTTAGTTTGTTCGTTTACCACAAGAGGGAATGCCAGGCTGTTGTCAATTTCTCAGGATTCTTTCCTCTTGCTCCCCAATCTTGTTGAAGAGAGGCATTAGAGAAGCAAGACATAGAAAGTTCCCTCTCAAACTCTTCTTAATCAAGACATAATCCAGAATGGCTAATGATAGATTAATAAACCATCATATTTTAATTAATTTACTTCTCTTTTGCTTAAAATATCTTGGCACACCTATAAATCTACTTCCTCTATTTAATTTAAGAAAATATTAACTTTCTACTGTAACCATAGAATATTTAACAGAACATTTCTTTAAAATATGAAAACTGGGGCGCCTGGGTGGCTCAGTTGGTTGAGCGACTGCCTTCGGCTCGGGTCATGATCCTGGAGTCTCGGGATCGAGTCCCACATCGGGCTCCCTGCTCAGCAGGGAGTCTGCTTCTCCCTCTGACCCTCCTCCCTCTCATGCTCTCTCTCATTCTCTCTCTCGCAAAATAAAAAAATAAATAAATAAATAAATAAAATATGAAAACTATCAGGAATAAAATAAAAGAGAAATATATATATTTTAAAAATATTACTTGGTGACACTTTATATTTGACATTTTATCCAACATTTTTTAGCAACTAATTTATTGTGAATATATTCTCATGCTGGCAAATAAATTCAGGAATCTTCAAAAAATTTTATCAGGAGGTCACAATGGATAATTTAAATTTCTCTACAACAGAGTCAAATGCATTAATATTAATCTCTAAATTCAGCAGTTTTTGAAATTGTTATTCATGGTGAAGAGAGTTCATTTGAAAATGTGCTGACTCTAAAAGCATGGATTACATATCATTTTGAAAGTAAAATTAGTTCTATTAAATACAACCTGCTATCCCAGCAGTTATATAGCATATTCTTGGGTAATCACAAAATATTTAGGAAAATTAATATATACACTATTTCTTAAAATATCTGTATCACGTACAATCCAATATTATACTTAAAGTCATTTCACAAAGTCTTTTGCATGTTTACATAGCAACAGGAAAACTGAGTTCCTACAAAGGCATCATTTGGCACAGTTGATTGCCATTTGTCATAATGTTATGTTGCTTTTTCTGCTGATATTTTGTTTTGAATTTATGGAAGCAAGGAAGTGTCAGGCAGATACATTGGGGGAAAAAAGAAACCTTATATCTAGAAACAAATTTACCAGTCCTTCTCCTCTGTACTTATGTAGAGACAGAGTACACCAAATAAATAAAGATTATTTCCAAATAAATAAGCATAGCTTCATGTTGAACTGTTATATAATTTAAAATATATCAAAAATACTTGTTTTCTTATGGCTCTTTTACACCTTAATTACATTATCAAGATCATCAGTTGTGTCTACATATATGGGGGAAATAAAATCTGATAATGAAAAAGAAAAAAAGTAAAAATCTACTAGGTTGTTATATTGGACAAGATTAGAGTACAGAACATAATTTTCTTTCACTCAAACAGTACTAATGGACACAAAAATAAGACTAAGTCAAATATTTTATGAGCTATACTAAAGCTATACTTTACTATCACTTCTTATTTCGTTTTAATGTCCTGAAATAGCTGACATGTTCCATTTCCTATGCTCAGACATTGCTGCTATAAGCACATTTCATTACTTGCTTTATGCAAAATATTTTCATGATTGTAAACTATCCATGAAACAAATATAATTTGAAACAAATCTCAAATGTGAAAGGAAGCTGTTCTGTACTCTCACATAAAGATAATGTATTTATTGAGTGTAAATACAGCAACTATGTACTAAGGAACAGATAAGAATGTGCTGAGCAGTTAGAGCTTTTATTTTGTCAGAACTGGCCTAACTCAACAAAAGTCAGAGTTTCTATTTATGTGATTTATTACACTGGCACAGAGAATTACAAGTATATGAATATCTAAGCCACAGAGGATATTTACAAAAAGTTAGTAATTCTAATAAACATCTCTTATCACTAAAACAGAAATCTTAACAGAATTGGAATGGAATCAGAAAAGTAAACTCACAACCCTAAAACATATTTCCCATTCATTATCAAAACATATGTAAAATTACTGTTTTTCTTTATAGACTTAGAGGAGGGGGTTTCTTATAAACCCTGGTTGGCTGCATACAAATTCACATAATTATAGCACTTTTATTTAAACAGTAAATGAGAGTTGTAGAGAATAAGTTAACCTAGTCTATGGTTTTCAGTTATGTGACTGAAAACTCCTACCTCACTGTAGAATCTTCTGTGTTATCATCAGCAATCATCTCCAAATCTTGTAAGTGTTTCTCACAGGCTTCTTTAAACAAATTCTCTTCTGAAACTGCTTTAGGAGTATCTTCATTTGCTCAAAGATGTTCTATCAAGTTTTGTGAGTGCCAATTCTGAAAGGCTCTTTGATGGTCAGGGGCCAGTCCTGGCACTGGTGTTAGTATGTTGGGGTGGAAAGGATTGTTCTTTTTTTCAGTCTGTTTCTGTCCTGAGCATGGTTGTTCAACCTGCCCTGAACCGGGGTCCCTCTATGCTCATATCCTTCCTGCTGAAGGCTGTTTCCAGTGTTGGGCGACCCTTGAGAGGGATGACTAAACCACCTCCAATGTAGCCTTAGGATCTGTTTCACATGAAACTCTTCCTTGCCAGACATTGACATTGTTGCAGGAGGAAAGACAAAAGCCTTCTCTCACAGAAGGAAATGGAGCCTTTGTTATCTCCTGTTTCTCTGCCTCTTCTGTAGAACTAACAAAAGCACAAGTGCTGAGAGCAGTCTTTCTTGCTTCCCTCCCTTCCCCCACTGCCTATGGTGCACTCTAGCTTTCTAGCTGAAACAGAAAACTGCAGCTAACAGTGTAGGTGGGAACTCACACTGACAGGATGATGAGATCAGACCTTAAAGTAAATCAGCTTAGCACAGGAAAACAGCTACCACAGCACACTGCCACTGCTAAATTTGCAGGCTCACAGCCCTCCCACCTGGACTTGCAAATATCTAACCCAGCTTGTTCTTTAACCTAAGTACAATATCTGTAGCTTAAACCCAAGCAAGTGAGAAAAAGCAGTATTTAAACTCACTTCCTTCTATGTTCCCTCTACTCACCCCACCCCCTCCCAGATTAGCCCACTTCTGAGAATGTGCCACTTTGTCCTAGAATAATTTATACCAGGAAATTCATGATGATCTTTTTCAGGTTCTTATGGAAATTTTGATGGGGTTCATTAAGGGACAGCATCTTATCAGTCCTCTCATGCAGGTTGGTAGTTATTTCTACAAAATATCTAAAAATGTGAATGGTCTTATATTAATATTTGCTTAAAAACCTGAACAGTTTCAGAAACATAAGAAAGTGTTGGTTACCCATGACTAAACACACACACACACACACACACACACACCACTAGAGGATGTATTCATAGTATTTTAAGTCTACACCTGAAAGAAGAGAGCAGTGTTTTTTCTAAGCTGGTTAGGTTAAGAAGAGATGCCTTCTCTCAGTGACAATAGCTTGAAAACAAATAGTCTGTTCTGGCTCCATGCCTGTATAAACACCTCCTTATTATGCTCTTTACTTTCACAGGGAATGTTAAAGGTCTATTTTCTTTGTTCAGAAGTCCTTGTGAGAGGATGAAAAAGGGCCTGTTTTGAATCAACTCCATATTGCCACATAACTCAGTAATAGCTATGCACAAAGTACTTTGACATCTAACTCAGAATCACCAATTGTACAGAGGTGTTTCTATAACAGTCATATATCAGAAATGCTTTCACCAATGCCATTTTGAAGTTCAGTTTGAATTTTATCTAGCTTCCATGTAATGTATACAGGTGATAAGGGGGGAGATTATGCCAGTGTAAGGTTTTGGTTTTAGTTCTGACTTTATGGTTAATAAGCTGTATAATCTTTAATAAGTAACTACTACTTTGCATCATAGTTTCTTCATACATAATGTGGAGAGGCTGAAGAAATTTTTAAATTTCTACTTGCAATGAATTTTAAATGCTTGGAAACAGCATGAATATCTTTTTCAAAGTTTTGGTAGTTATTTTACATACAGTTTTCTATAAATCTAACTATAACTTTCCCTTTCCTCTCTTGTTTTTGTAGGTATAATGGTAAATTTGTGTCAATTTGGCTGGACTATAATGGGTTATCCAGATACCTGGTAAAACATTATTTTGGCTGTTTCTGGATGAGTTTAACATTTAAATCAATAGACTGAGTAAAGTAAATTGTCCTCCTTAATGTGCGTGGGCTTTATCCAATCAGTTGAAGGTTGATCAAATATATAAAACAATTACTAAGTAACATAAAGGATCTCATTGATAATACTACAATAGGAGTAGAGGAATTTAATACCCCACTTACATCAAAGGACTGATCATCTAAGCAGAAAATGAACAAGGAAACAAGGGCTTTGAATGACACAATGGACCAGATGGGCTTAAGAAATGTATTCAGAACATTTCATCTTAAAGCAGCAGAATACACATTCTTTTCAAGTGCATATGGGACATTCTCCAGAATAGATCATGTACTAGGTTACAAAACAGGCCTCAAAAAGTACAAAAAACTGCCTTCATACCATGCATCTTTTTGGATCACAATGCTATAAAACTTGAAGTCAACCACAAGAAGAAGAAAAAAAAAATGGAAAGACCACAAATACATGGAGGTTAAACAACATGCTACTAAACAATGAATATGTCAATCAGGAAATCAAAGAAGAAATTTAAAAACATACATGGAAACAAATGAAAATGAAAACATGACAGTCCAAAACCTTTGGGATGCAGCCAAAGTGGTCCTAAGAAGGAAATATATAGCTATACATGCCCACTTCAAGAAAAATATCCAACAACCTAACTTTACAATGAAAAGAGTTATAAAAAAGAACAACAAATGAAGCCTAAAGCCAGCAGATGGAAAGAAATAATAAAGATTAGAGCAGAAATAAATGATATAGAAACTAAAATTTAAAAAAAAATAGAACAGATTAATCAGACCAGGAAATGGTTTGAAAAAATTAATAAAATTGATAAATCCCTAGCCAGATTTATCAAAAATAGAAAGGACTCAAATAAATAAAATAACAAATGAGAGAAGAGAGATCACAACCAGCACCACAAAAATACCAACAATTATAAGAGAACATTGTGAACAATTACATGCTAACAAACCAGATGACTTGGAAGAAATAGTTAAATTCCTAGAAACATATAAATGGAACCAAAACTGAAACAAAAAGAAATAGAAAACTTGAACATATTGATAACCAGCAAAGAACTTTTCAAAAATCTCCCAATGAACAAAAGTCCAGGGCCAGATGGCTTCCCAGGAGAATTCTAAAACACATTTAAAGAATTAATACCTATTCTTCTCAAATTATTCCCAAAAAGAGAAATGGCAGAAAATTTTCCAAACTTATTCCATGAAGCAAGAATTACCTTGACAAAGGTAAGACAGATAAACTCCACTAAAAAAAAAAAAAAAAAAAAAAAATAGGCCAATATCCTTGATGAACATGGATTCAAAGATTCTCAACAAAATACTAGCAAATCAAATCCAACAGTACATTTAAAGAATCATTCACCACGATCAAGTGGGATTTATTCCTGAGCTGTCAGTGTGGTTCAATATTTATAAATCAATGTGATGTACCACATTGATAAAAGAAAGCATAAGGACCAAATTATCCTTTTTTTTTTTAAGATTTTATTTATTTATTTGACAGAGACAGAGACAGCGAGAGCAGGAACACAAGCAGGGGGAGTGGGAGAGGGAGAAGCAGGCTTCCCGCCGAGCCGGGAGCCTGATGTGGGACTCGATCCCAGGACCCTGGGATCATGACCTGAGCCGAAGGCAGTCGCTTAACCAACTGAGCCACCCAGGCACCCCCCAAATTATCCTTTCAATAGTTAAATAAAAAGCTTTTCACTAAGTATAAAGTCCTTTAATGATAAAACCCTCAACAAAGTAGAGACAGAGGGAATATAGCTCAACATAATTAAGGCCATATATGAAAAACCCACTGCTAATATCATCCTCAATGGGGAAAAAAACTGAGAACTTTTCCTTTATGGTCAAGAACAAACAAGGATGTCCACTATCACCACTGTTATTTAACATAGTACTGGAAGTCCTAGTCTCAGCAAGCAGACATCAGAAAGAAATACAATGCTTCTAAATTGGTAAGAAAGAATTCAAACTTTCACTATTTGCAGAAGGCATGATAAACTATAAAGAAAACCCAAAAGACTCCACCAAAAAAAATTGCTAGAACTGATACACAAATTCAGTAAAGTCACAGGATATAAAATCAATATACAGAAATCTGTTGCAGTTCTATACACCAATAATGAAGCAGCAGAAAGAGAAATGAAAGAAGTAATCCTATTTACAGTTGCACCAAAAATAATAAGATACCTAAGAATAAACCTAACCAAAGAGGGAAAAGAGGGGAACCCTCCTACACTGTTGGTGGGAATGCAAGCTGGTGCAACCACTCTGGAAAACAGTATGGAGGTTCCTCAAAAAGTTGAAAATAGAGCTGCCCTATGACCCAGCAATTGCACTACTGGGTATTTACCCCAAAAATACAAAGTAGTGATCCGAGGGGGTATGTGCACCCTGATGTTTATAGCAGCAATGTCCACAATAGCCATACTATGGAAAGAGCCAAGATGTCCATTGAGAAATGAATGGATAAAGAAGATGTGATATATATATATATATATATATATATATATATATATATATATATATATATATATATATATACAATGGAATATTATGCAGCCATCAAAAGGAATGAAATCTTGCCATTTGCAATGACGTGGATGGAACTGGAGGGTATTATGCTGAGTGAAATAAGTCAAAAAGAGAAAGACATGTATCATATGATCTCACTGATATGAGGAATTCTTAATCTCAGGAAACTGAGTGTTGCTGGAGTGGTGGGGGTTGGAGGGATGGGGTGGCTGGGTGATAGACATTGGGAAGGGTATGTGCTATGGTGAGAGCTGTGAATTGTGTAAGACTTTTGAATCACAGACATGTACCTCTGACACAAATAATATATTATATGTTAAAAAAAGAAGAAGAAGAAGATAGTAGGAAGGGAGAAATGAAGGGGGGGTAATAGGTGGGGGAGATGAACCATGAGAGACTATGGACTCTGAAAAACAAACTGAGGGTTCTAGAGGGGAGGGGGTGGGAGGATGGGTTAGCCTGGTGATGAGTATTAAAGAGGGCACTAATTGAATGGAGCACTGGGTGTTATACGCAAACAATGAATCATGGAACACTACATCAAAAACTAATGATGTAATGCATGGTGATTAACATAACATAATAAAAAAAAAAGAAGATGTGGTATATATATACACAATAGAATATCACTCAGCATAAAAACGAATGAAATTCACAAAGACGTGGATGGAGCTAGAGAGTCTTATCCTAAGCAAAATAAGTCAGTCACAGAAAGAAAAATACCATATGATTTCACTCATATGAAGAATTTAAGAAACAAAACCTATAAACATAGGGGAAAAAGAGAGGCAAGCCAAAAAACAGTCTCTTAACTTAGAGAACAAACTGATGGTTATCAGAGAGGGGAGTTGGGTGGGGTGATGGGTTAAATATGTGATGGTTATTAAGTGGGG